ATCTGGGGGGTTAATACTATAATACAGGGTATCTGGGGGGGGTAATACTATAATACAGGGTATCTGGGGGGGTAATACTATAATACAGGGTATCTGGGGGGGTAATACTATAATACAGGGTATCTGGGGGGGGTAATACTATAATACAGGGTATCTGGGGGTGTAATACTATAATTAACACTCTGTGTATTCTCACCTTCACAAGCTTCCCTCTGCCGTAAAGGAAGTCACCGAAGTAAATCTGTTTCCACCTGTCGTAAAATTGCCGCTAAGCAGCTACTTTCCAGTCTCGTTTTAGCGACGCATCTGTCCAATCACAGAGGAGCACAGTTAATTTCCGGAAAGTGGTCGGTCATGTGATTTTATTTGCTGTTAGAGGACGCCTGATTGGAAGGAATATAGCCCCGCCCCCTGTCCGAGTAGACCAATGAGGCGCACTGCGCATGCTCCGTCTCTGAGCGATCGGCTTCCAATCAGAGGACTGAGACCTGACGTCAGGGGGGACAGGACGTGAACCATCAGATTCGGTCCCCCCAGGAGGGGAAACATGAGCCGTGAAGGAATGTTCCGGCAGTGCAGCTGTATATGGATATCTTGCTATTCAGCCCTCTAGTTTTAATATCTGACATGGGATTCATTATAATGTCCCTCCATGGCTGCACCTGCCTGGCTTCCGGTCCCCGCCCGGACAACATATCAAAACACTTTACAGCACAGCTATCAGTTACTACCTAGAAACCTGGCCACACCCTCTGCCGCAAAGCCCCGCCCACATTATTAATCTCCACCCACTTAGTGCAGGTTACTGGGTCTATTCAATAAAGAGAGAATTACGGGTAATCGAGAGTGACGGGGAACCGAGAGGAACTGAGAGTTACCGAGAACCGAGAGTTAAGGGTAACCGAGAGTTACCGGGTAACCGAGAGTTACGGGGAACCGAGAGTGACGGGGAACCGAGAGTGACGGGGAAACGAGAGTTACCGGGAACCGAGAGTTACGGGGAACTGAGAGTTAAGGGTAACCGAGAGTTACCGGGTAACCGAGAGTTACCATGAACCGAGAGTTAAGGGTAACCGAGAGTTACCGGGGAACCGAGAGTTACCGGGGAACCGAGAGTGACGGGGAAACGAGAGTTACCGGGAACCGAGAGTTACGGGGAACTGAGAGTTACCGAGAACCGAGAGTTAAGGGTAACCGAGAGTTACTGGGTAACCGAGAGTTACGGGGAACCGAGAGTTACCGGGAATCGAGAGTTACCGGGAATCGAGAGTTGCGGGGAACCGAGAGGAATCGAGAGTTACAGGGAACCGAGAGATACCGGGGAACCGACAGTTACAGGGAACCGAGAGTTACTGGGTAACCGAGAGTTACGGGCAACCGAGAGTTACCGGGTAACCGAGCGTTACGGGGAACCGAGAGTTACGGGGAACTGAGAGTTACCGAGAACCGAGAGTTACCGTGAATCGAGAGTTACCGGGTAACCGAGAGTTACCGGGAACCGAGAGTTACCGGGGAACCGAGAGTGACGGGGAACCGAGAGTGACGGGGAAACGAGAGTTACCGGGAACCGAGAGTTACGGGGAACTGAGAGTTACCGAGAACCGAGAGTTAAGGGTAACCGAGAGTTACGGAGAACCGAGAGTTACCGGGAATCAAGAGTTGCGGGGAACCGAGAGGAACCGAGAGATACCGGGGAACCGAGAGTTACAGGGAACCGAGAGTTACGGGCAACCGAGAGTTACCGGGTAACCGAGCGTTACGGGGAACCGAGAGTTACGGGGAACCGAGAGTTACCGAGAACCGAGAGTTACCGTGAATCGAGAGTTACCGGGTAACCGAGAGTTACCGGGTAACCGAGAGTTACCGGGAACCGAGAGTTACGGGGAACCGAGAGTTACGGGGAACTGAGAGGAATCGAGAGTTACGGGGAACCGAGAGTTACGGGGGAACCGAGAGTTACGGGGGAATCGAGAGTTACGGGGAATCAAGATGGGAATTTTGAACTTCAGGCCAAAGTAGCCGAGTTGGAAACATTCTTGTAGCGGAGCTGCAATATTAAATCCCAAGATCTCCACTGGTAAAATAAAGTAATCCAAGAAAAGCGCTGAAAATGAAGGCAATATCCCAAATCCCCCAGTAACCGGATGAAACACAGTTCTGGGAGGGGAAACATGAGCCGTGAAGGAATGTTCCGGCAGTGCAGCTGTATATGGATATCTTGCTATTCAGCCCTCTAGTTTTAATATCTGACATGGGATTCATTATAATGTCCCTCCATGGCTGCACCTACCTGGCTTCCGGTCCCCGCCCGGACAACATATCAAAACACTTTACAGCACAGCTATCAGTTACTACCTAGAAACCTGGCCACACCCTCTGTCGCACAGCCCCGCCCACATTATTAATCTCCACCCACTTAGTGCAGGTTACTGGGTCTATTCAATAAAGAGAGAATTACGGGTAATCGAGAGTGACGGGGAACCGAGAGGAACTGAGAGTTACCGAGAACCGAGAGTTAAGGGTAACCGAGAGTTACGGGGAACCGAGAGTGACGGGGAAACGAGAGTTACCGGGAAACGAGAGTTACGGGGAACTGAGAGTTACCGAGAACCGAGAGTTAAGGGTAACCGAGAGTTACTGGGTAACCGAGAGTTACGGGGAACCGAGAGTTACCGGGAATCGAGAGTTACCGGGAATCGAGAGTTGCGGGGAACCGAGAGGAATCGAGAGTTACAGGGAACCGAGAGATACCGGGGAACCGAGAGTTACAGGGAACCGAGAGTTACCGGGTAACCGAGAGTTACGGGCAACCGAGAGTTACCGGGTAACCGAGCGTTACGGGGAACCGAGAGTTACGGGGAACTGAGAGTTACCGAGAGTTACCGTGAATCGAGAGTTACCGGGTAACCGAGAGTTACCGGGAACCGAGAGTTACGGGGAACTGAGAGTTACCGAGAACCAAGAGTTACCGTGAATCGAGAGTTACCGGGTAACCGAGAGTTACGGGGAACTGAGAGGAATCGAGAGTTACGGGGAACCGAGAGTTACGGGGGAATCGAGAGTTACGGGGAATCGAGAGTTACAGTGAATCACGATGGGAATTTTGAACTTCAGGCCAAAGTAGCCGAGTTGGAAACATTCTTGTAGCGGAGCTGCAATATTAAATCCCAAGATCTCCGCTGGTAAAATAAAGTAATCCAAGAAAAGCGCTGAAAATGAAGGCAATATCCCAAATCCCCCAGTAACCGGATGAAACACAGTTCTGGGAGTCAACAGACGATTTTATTCACAAGCTCCAGTATTTATGTGATTCCCCATGCAAGGGGTTTCCTTAATTACTTTACAGTAGGGGACTACATGGGGAACTGAACATACAGGACATTTCTCCCACAATGCACTGCTGTACGTGAGGGATACTCCCACTAGAATCTCCTGTTAAGTGGATTATCCCTCCGTACAGCAGAACTGGCTTTTAACTTAAAAATCCATAACTTACATATTATTCGTGCCATTGTACCGAATGACCGTTCGGCAGATAGCTGGGGTCTGAGCGCATACTTCGTGAAAGTACCGCTCAGTTCCCAGCACAATCAGCCGAACGCCGCACGAAATACACTTTAATATACATTCCTCATAAAAGTCACGAATACATAAGTGGGGAAAAAGTACCGAAAGACCTGCGCTCCCAAACGGCCTGGAAGTCCAGCGGTGTTCGTGCCGTCGAGTAGCCGATTTTAGTTCCAGGCACTCGACGACCAAACACCGCTGGGCAAAAAGATAGAGAGAGCATCCCTAATATACAGTGTTCTTCCTAACTCCCTCCCCCTGCTCCCAGTATCAGCCTGTGTACCTTATACAGATGATACCGGAGAAACTGACGGAAGCAAAGCACAGAGGGATGGACACAGGTTTCTTCAGGAAGGAAGAGATTCTTTATTGGATCACCGATCGGGACTCAGAGGGACTAATGTCACAAAAAATACAGCAAGTTCTGAGCCCTGAACAATAGTGCAGGCTCCCTATATAGGCACATAACTCCTCCCATATTAAGCTCCACCCGCACATTCTCTTGACCAAACATTACAAATAAGAATTAACTTCCTGCTTGACCGCATGGCTTGTCCAGCACAATGGAGGAGGGGAATACTACATCCTGTATTCTTGCACATGCTCCGTGCACTACTGATCGTATCTTGCCTCGTGCAACCAACTGATCGATACGTCAGCATATGCACGTACACATGCCACGTGGTAATCTCGGCCTACTAAATTTATTTTTACCGAGATTCCACCACATTCCCCCCTTTGATGCCTCTTGATATTTTACAATTACTTGAGGTATCACTTAACCTTGGTTTGCATACACCACAAGTTACCTTTGAACCAGACCAGACTTATCCTATGATGTGAATCTTCAACACTCGTCTTCCTGCATTGGTCCTCCCTGATCTAGAGCCTTATATTTATAAATTGCCATTATCTGTGCAGCAGCCTTCCTCTCTGCTATATTTTCTATCAGGCTTTGCACAGACCTAACTACTAAGGGTATAAGACACGGCAGGAGGAGACACAACATTAAAATCAGTAGGACTCCACCTACCACTGCCTTAAGCCCTCCAAACCACTCATACCAGCTACCAAACCAACTACTTGGATTGTACCCCTTCCATACCTGAGTAGGCACATGCGCTAGTTTAACCATATGGCTAGTAAGCTCAGCTATTGCTTGCCCTTCGTCATCTATTTGAAGACAGCAATTGCTCAGGTTAAACTTCCCACATACACCTCCCTCTACTGCCAAAAGATAATCCAAGGCTAATCTATTTTGGTAAACTGCTGTCCTCATCCTGGTATTAGGCTTCGCTAGAAGATTGAGCGCTTGTGATGTCTCGTTAGTAATGATCTCAACCACCGCCTGTAACCTTATAATGCGGTTGAGCATATAAATAGGGGTTCTATAACCAAAGGTACCATCCTCTGCCCACGTGGCTGGCCCATAATAATCTATAATACGCTGGGGAGGCCATTCATTATCTTCCCAGGCACCTATCTCTATGGGTCCCCTTTTCTTCCTATGATTCACATCATACACTTTAACACCTAAAGTCTCACCTGTTTCAATAGGCAACAAGAAGAAGGATGGTTTTAACATACCCAACACACATGCCCCTTCCCAGTCCTGTGGTAACTCCGAATAGGCCTTCTTACCACAGATCCAGTACAAATTCGCTGGGGCTCTCCAGTTAGATGTGATGGATAGATCAAACCATACGTCCTTTAAATTGGCATATCTTGCAAACGGGTTAGATGGTTCTGAGACATTTGAAGCCGACCACCAAGTTGTATTCTTTGTATCATCATCATAAGCTTTTTGCCCTAGACAAGTTAATTCTCCTACAGAAGTATTATACATCATTCCTTTCCTCGCTATGCAAACATAACCTATGATGGAGGTCTTCAATCTCCACTCAGATTTACCTCTAACACTCATATGATAGTCGGCTTGTGTAGATATTAATTGGTCAACTGCCTCAGAACCGGACATTACCTCCTTTGCTTCCCAAGGCCATTGGTCTCCCATGTTAGTACCTCCACACACATAGCAGTTGGTAACATTAAGACTACCGGCAATACTCTCGGCTAAATCAATGAACAAGTTTTTAGCATTATGGGGGATCTTATTATCTATGCTCATCTCTTCATAAAAGGAATGGTATACTTGATGAGTTTGGGAGGTTACCGTATCAGTCTCTATCCCTATAAACAATATTGTCCCAGGGTCTAAACCCGTCCCATATATTTGAAACCCAAATAAATTACCATATTTATCTAAGAACTTGTCAGGGTTATTTATAAGTATATGGATTGGATTGCATTCCATAGACTTACAATATGGATTAGTAGGCAACTTAGTCACAATCATGTCCTTGTCTGCTGTCTGTCCCCAAGTCGCCCACCCCACACAAGACCAATATGGGCAGAAGTTATAATCTCTATTTGGGCATCTTGGACTTACATATTTATTTTTACTACTGGGACAAATATATTTATCGTTAGACCCATACGTCCTCTCCCATCTAAGATCCCCACATACATTCCACGGCTTTCTACCACTTGATATTGCTTTACACGCATCAAATAGCAGAGCACCTGAAGAATATACGGATTTTAATACCGTCTTATTAATTAGGGTCCCCTGAGAATCTCCATTTCTGAGAGTCAACCAAATTGTACGGGGTTGATACTCAGGACTGAAGCACTTAGGTTCTCCTACTCCTAAATGACACACACTATATTCTATATTTAAGTATCTACATCTTGATACATCTCCTTTACACTCATATTGCGAATGCCAA